ATACACAAAAACAACGTGTAACGGCAAAACCCCAACAAATTACACACAAACACCAGCCGAGGCTGCTAGCATAAGCTGCTCAGACGACCAGTCTGCATAACACACACACACACACACACACCCAGAGACTCAAAAACCGCGCAACCTGAAGTTCTTAGATCAGTTAGATACTACACCTTGAGGGGTTTAGGGTTTAGGGTTACCCGGTATTCCTTATACAACTCGAAAAAGCACGCCTAAACCAAGCCGTAAAGGAAGCTAAGCGCATCTGAGGCGTACTTGAGGGGACCTTTGCAAGGAACCCCCAACGGCTCTCAGGAAACCTGTTTTTGGAACCTTCAAAAGGAACCCCGAAAGGAACTCGGTAAGGGTCCTTTACGAGTTCCCTTAAAGGATACCTTATAGAACCTGCTGAAGGCATCCTCAAAGAAGCCATAGGCCTTTAAGGGCTCTTATAATTAAGGGTTCCTGTAAGAGCTCATGTAAGGGTTCCTTTACGACCTCCTTGCAAGGCTCCTGTAAGGGTTCCTTTTAAGGTTCAGGGTGTTTCAGGCTGCTTTAAGGGTTGCTGTAAGCGTTCCTTTAAAACCTTTAACGAAACCCTTTAGAAAGGAACGAAGACTGGAACCATCAAAACTCGGGCGCGCCCGCGAAGGCAATGCTCCATGTCGGAGAAAAAACGGAGCCTCGGAAAAGATGGAGTTATAAACCCGAACCCTAAACCCAGGGTTTAGGGTTTAGGGTTTAGGGGTCTTATCGAGGTTGAGCGTTTAGGGCTTTGTGGGGATCTTTTGATACGCGTCTTATCGGGATTTAGAGCTTTGGTCTTAGTTGGCTTTAGGGTTCAGGGTTGTTTGGGGCGTCCTTGGAATCGTAAGGAAAGCCTCCACGAAAATACCCGCCGTATTCCGGTCAAATGCGACTCTCCTCCTTCGCCTCCCTTTCCCGTACCCAATACAGGGGCCTTAATGTTTGAAGCAATGGCTTTGAGGTATAGTATCCTGTGATTCCATAGGGCTACAAGGGAAATGCTTTCCGAATTATTCCGATAATAAACCCGGATCGAAATTCACGAAACTAAACCCTTATTCCTAAGCCCGAAGACCTTCTACATTCTACCCCTGCGATTCACCCTCCACTCCAAAACCTAAACCCTGCACCCTAAACCCTATCACACTTTTGCGCCTGCTGTCGTGAAGTCTCCCAAGAAGTGAAACGGGCCTGCAGCGGGTGGAGCTCGAAGGAAAGCAAAGCGGGGCGGGGCCTAAACCGAAGCCAAAGGAACCGGGGGCTAAACCTTAGGGTCCTAAGGTGAGGGAAAGGCCAGCGGGCCTGCGAAGTTTGCCTGAGGCCAAGCTGTAGGTCGTAGTGTTCCACGAAGCGCGCCTGGGAGGGCGGGCCGGGAGAGGAAAGCAGCTTCGAGCGGTCACGATTGATCGGCTTCCGTGTGATATTGCCCATCACACTTTTGCGCCTGCTGTCGTGAAGTCTCCCAAGAAGTGAAACGGGCCTGCAGCGGGTGGAGCTCGAAGGAAAGCAAAGCGGGGCGGGGCCTAAACCGAAGCCAAAGGAACCGGGGGCTAAACCTTAGGGTCCTAGGGTGAGGGAAAGGCCAGCGGGCCTGCGAAGTTTGCCTGAGGCCAAGCTGTAGGTCGTAGTGTTCCACCCTTATTATCCTTGGCAATTACTTGCCACCATCCTGCAGCACGTGCAGGATAAGGGCCCGGGAGTACGAGCTCAGCAAGCGGATCCTCTCACGGGCGCTTGGCGGAAGACGTTGCAAAAGCAACTGGGCCGCAACTTCCTGAAGATAAAACTCGACAGTCTTCGTCTTACTCCACCGGCCACGCCAGGCAACAAGCGGTAGATCTTCCGTCTCCAAGTAAAGGAAGGTTGCCCCTGAGCCTCGCAAGACACCAGGGGTAGCGCCCCGATCGGAGAGGCGGTGGGGCACTCCAAGCCTAGACATAACGGAGTTCCATTGACGCCTGTAGGTATGCATGGAACCGCGGAACAGCTTTGCAGAAAGAGGAAGGTCGAGGTAAAGAAACTTCAGCAGCTGCAGGACCAAAGGGTCCTCAAGACGCGCATGTTGCCGCCGGGCAAACCTTTGCGTCTTAGGGTTGCGAATGTGAACATACGCAACAGGATCCGGGGACAAAGCGTCCTCAGGAAACACAAGGTCTTGACGTTGCAGACAGAGCATCTCAGCCGGGTGAAGCATGCAAAGAAACCCTATCAAAGTAAGGCAGGCCCAGTCAAACCACCCCCAGCATAAAGCTAAAGCAACGGATGCCTGGACGATAGGCTGGGAGATGACGGGGCGACACTCACCGGGCTCAACTTGTTGCCATTTTCGGTCGACTTGCCACGCAGGAGCGAGCTGAGAGCGAAACTCCGGATGGCTATCCTGCACAGAAGTAATGGCATAAACAAGAAGGTACCTTGGTTGACCAGAGGAGTAAAGGTAGAGGCCGAAGGCGCGGAGTGCCGTGGCCGCAGTAGAAGCAGAGGAAAGGACAGCCTGAAGCCCCAATCCGAAAGTTACCTGAAGCCAAACAGCGAAAGCGCCCAGGGCCTTGTCCATCTTCTGCTTAGTGGACGAGGCGAAACCACCCTGCATGTCAAGGGCACCACGGGGGGCGCCGGAGTGAAAAGGGCCCGGATTCCGCTCGACGTCGCCGGCGAGAAGAAGGAGGAACCTGAACCAGCGGCCCAAAACGCGAGGGACGGCGGCCGAGGCGCAAACTGCGCAAACCAAGTCGAAAGGACGATGATCCCCAGCAACGAGAGAGTGAAGCCAGGAAGGCCAGGGCTTAGAAGCGGGAGCCGGAGGGCGGCCGCGAGAAGGACCGTCACTACGGTTTTGAGCCGAGTAGACATGGAGACCTCCGGGGTAGAGACCTGAGCCGAGGATATATGGCACGGTGGAACGAAGAACGCGGCAGAGAGCAGGGCTCGCGGAACGGCCCTTGGCAGCGCAGCCTAGAAGAACGCGGCTGTCGATCAGGCCGACAGGGCGAGTGTGAGGAAGCCGCCGGGCACACCATTTAAGCCAAGTCTTGTAAGAGCGAGCCTCGAGAACGTTGATATGTCCATGGCCCTTAAAGGTGTAGCGAAGGATCTCCTGAAACTCAAGGCAATCGGCCAGTTCACCGATCCATTCAGGATCGTCGTGGAACAACCTACCTTCCCGAGTGCAAACCCCTAGACCTAAGGAGGGAGGGTCTAAACCCAAAAAGCCCAGGGAACCGAGGGCGGCAAGGGGTGACGAAGCGGGCAGCGAAGTGACGTAGCCTGCAGCAGCAAGGCTGCTCCCCGAGGAAGCTCTGCTGGTGAGAGGGAACGGTAAGCTGCTGCAAAAGTCACTAACGCTCTCCCCGTCCGTAGGCGCACGACCAAAAACGGCCGAGGCAGAAGGCTTGCAACGGGAAGCGAAGGCAGCACAGGAGGCGCGAGTGAAGCGCCCCACGACAGGAAAGTGTGGCACTGAGGAGCTGCATGAGCAAGTACCGAAAGCGCCGCCCAGGCAGCACAGCCACGGCTTGTTGTGAAGGACGTCAAGGACTTGACCACAGGGTGACCCGAAAGAGCAAAGGTGCAGCGAAGTTAAGGCGGCCCCATGGGCGATGAGGCCACGAAAGCAGTGGAGCCGCAACAGAGCACTTGAAGACACCTGTGAGACGCTGACGTAGGAGCCCGCGGCGGCCGCCAGACACAACACGAAGCACAGACGGCGGGCTAAAGCTAAAGTGTTAGCCTCGGCGATCTCGGCAGTGGGGGAAAGAAGGCCAGCCGGGTCCTCCGCAGAATGCCCAAGCATGTCCCAAGGAGGGGCGGTGTGCCAGTCGTGCACACGCCCACTCACGGCCAAGTGGCAAAGCCTGTGGAAGGTAACACGGTGACCAAGGGCAGCAAACGGAAGGTCGCGAAGCCAGGGCTCAGTTTCAACTAAGTCAGTCAAGCCAGCACGTGAGTGTGACACAGCCCAGTTGCGGCGCTGGCAGAAAAGGCACACAAAGCTCGCACCGTCGGTTTTAGGCGGACGCAAAGGCAAGGGCTCCGGGTCAAAAGGCGCGGAAGCAGGGTGAAGGCCTTCAACAAAGGAAGCCCCCGGGTCGGAGCTCAGGCCCAAGTCGCACAGCAAGGCCGAGGCGGGCTCAAGTTGTCTGGTGTAAAACCCCTTTTGCTCGGTATGGCGCCAAAGTTCCTGAACCACATGAGGCGGGAGTTTAGTTGAGCACACTCACGTGGGGCTCTCTGTACCAGTATGAGCCTTTGCCGTGAGCCCTTCTAAATAGCCGGCATCGGCCCAGCGGGCAGCGTCTGTCCAGGATCGCCGCACCGCCGGAGCCGACCCGGCTAAAGGTCAGCCGCACTCGCCGAGGACGGCCGTACCGCCGCTTGAGGGCCCTCACCATCCCCGGAGGGAGTTCGCCATCAAAGGCGATGGAGATGTGAAGGTCCCCCATGTTAACCACCCGCAGAGGGCTTACGCCGGACACGGCCAACGCCCAAAGGCGAGGAGCCGGTCCTGGCAGCCTCCGCAGGCGGATACGGCAGCTGTGGCCCCGAGAGATCAGCTTGTCCACAACCTCGGCAAACAATGAAGCCCTAAACCCCAAACCCTAAAAAGTCCTAAACCCCCGAACCCCAGAAGCCCTAAACCCCAAACCCTAAAAAAGTCCTAAACCCCGAACCCCAGAAGCCCTACAACCCAAACCCTAAAAAGTCCTAAACCCCGAACCACAGAAGCCCTAAACCCTGAACCCTAAAAGACTTAAACGCAAGACGAGCCAGCCTGCTCGTACGGGCCCCACGGCAGAAACGGCACGTCGGTGTCCTCGGTCATCCTCAGCCCACACAGACAGAAGCTCAGTTCACGAGGCAATCACTCTCAGGCCCTGACGTCAGTGTCGCACACCTCAGGAGTAGGACCGACCTAAGTAGAAAGCAAAACTCACAGGCAGCTACCTCCTAGAGCGAACAAAAGACACTGAGACTCGGACTGCTGGCTCACCTGACACCAGGACGACAGGTAAACACGAGCACCCACATCAAAACTCTGAGGGCCGGACCAAGAGAGAAAAAAACGCTGAAACCCCAAAACCCAGGCCCAGATTGAGCAAAAGGATCTGCGGACGAATCTACATGGTTTAGGTGTTTAGGGTTTAGACGTTTTAGGGTTTAGGGGTTTAGGCAACGCTGCGACAACAAGCTTGAAAACAAATGATCATGCAACGTGAAAAGAAACAGTCAAAAAAAATCAGGCAAAAACGTGGACAGTCAAGCAAAATACTCCACAAGATCATGCCAAAATTGCTAAAACTCTAGTTAAAATCCAAAAAAAATGCTGCAAAATCCGGCTCGGCTGCGGGAGCTCGAAAGCAGCTCTGATGACGAATCCACGACCTCCTAGATAAAGATGGGCAAGATCAAGGTCTTCCCTACCCCAGAGTACGGGAGCAAGCAACCCCACGACCCCGTGGTGCCCCGACTCCCCTGCACCGGCATTCTGCTTGGCCCCAACAAGTCGGGCAAGACCGTGTCCCTGATCTCCATGATTCTCGAGCAGTACCGCGGCTGCTTCGAGCGCATCTACCTGTTCAGCAGCAGCATCATGGTCGACGACGGCTGGAAGCCCGTGAAGCAGTACATCGAGGAAACCATGAAGGTGAACACCGACCGGGAGCAGGTCTACTTCGAGAACTGGGACGAGGCGGCCCTGCGGCGCATCATAGACCAGCAGCGCAAGATCACGCAGGTGTCCAAGCAAATGAAAATGAAGCAGCTGTACCAGATCCTGATCCTGATCGACGACTTCGCCGACAGCCCTAACCTGCACAAGAGGACCGGCGACTCAGCGCTGGACACCCTTTTCGTGCGAGGCCGGCACTTCCAAATCTCCACCTGGGTTAGCACCCAGAAGTTGCGCCTCATCAGCAACGCCGTCAGGGTGAACGCACAGTTCTTCATGATTTGGCGCCTGCGGAACCAGCTGGAGAAGGACAGCCTCCTGGAAGAGCTCACAGCCCTAGTCCCCAAGAAGCAGCTGGAGGCCATGTACGAAGAGGCCGTGAGGGAGCCCTACAGCTTCCTATACATCTACCTGCTCAAGCAACGAGATGAAATGTTCCACGTGAGGTTTGAAAAGCGCTTTCAACTCGATGGGAAACCTCCTGTCAGCGACGGTGAGCAAGCTGCTGGGGAGCAGCACATTCTTCCAAAGTGAGTGCCGCAACGTCAACTGCTGCACGGGCCTCCAGTGCACAGATGCACAGGAGCTCGTTAACAGAGTCCCGGTGCAGGGCGGAGACCTTGTTGGAAGGCACCCGGCGCGCGTCGACGAAGACCTGGCTAAGCACAGCAAACACAGGGCGGCGGAAGAGCAACGCGTGAATCCACAGGCCCAAAACTGATGCCAGCAGAGAGGGCGAGCAGCAGCCCCGCCGTGCGATCACCGAGGCAATCTTCATTAAGACGCCCGTGCGGTGTCGAGGAGCTGAGACTAGCCCAGCGATGCCGTCGACATCAGCGCCTAAGAAGACGCCCGTAGTCACATTGCGTTTTCGCTTGCCCGGATGAGATACCAGGCCCACTGCAGGGTAAGCTGCATCGGCGCAGTTGAAGATAACAGAGTCCCGGAGACACGTGTTTCCCCGAAGCTGAGCCCGAGAGCAAACCTGAGCAGTCAGGTGGTCGTCTATCGATAAAAATTCCCAGCAGGCGGAGCGAGGAGCCGCCCGTCGATATGCCACGAACTCGTGGGGTCTCATGCTATTTCCCAGGCTGGCAAGCACATTGAAGTGGGCTTGTTGTGCGTACTCGACCGCCCCACAATCCCCCATGGCAAGGGAATTCAAGGCGATATAGCATGGCTGGTTGTGAACCCTGGGATTGAAGACACTGAACCCACTAAGTTCGTGGGGGGCGAAGACCATACTCAAGCAGTTTCTCAATGCACGTTTTTCAGGAACCACAAATGTATAGTACATTTCACTCAAGTCGTCACAACAAAAACGAATCACATGATTATGTGAAGGCAGCGTGGCCTGGGCCAAAAGACAGCCCGGGGCAAAAAGCTTCGTGTACAAGCTGATTTTACGAGAGCGAGAATTTATTACACAGGGGTTCAAGATGAATCTATCAAAGGCCTCATCCTTGGGTACCCCGAAACAGCCTACAGGAAGAGCAGCCCCGGACCGCAGGTAGTTCAAGCAGGACCAAGGGGCATCGACGAAGTGAAGGGCCAGCTCTCCCACAGCGCGTCTCCGAGGAGTCTCGCAGCCAACCATCAAAGTAGTGCACAGCAATGGGGCAGAGGCATCTCCTACCTCGGTCAAGCTGTGAAGGAGCTGGCCGACCTCGTCCGTACCAGGCAGAGCCAGCATCATTCCACCAGCCCGAAGGCGCACCAGAAAAGCCGTGATCCGTGAGGTCGGGGAGTCGGGGTTGTCCAGGAAATAGAACATGGGCAAAGGCCGTCCTGGAGGGGCTCCATCCATGAGAGCCTCGACCTCTGCCCGGCGCAAAGCGCCCCTCATAGCTCCTGCGGCCATGGCCTCCCCGAAGCCTGCACGAAAGCCTGAGCTTCCGCCCTCGAGGGAAAAGCGTGGCACACCGCAGCCTTCTCCAAGCGTCCCAGCCGGTCCTTTGGTACCTTGGCCCTGAAGGTCCCGAAATTTTCAGTCACGAACCCTGAGGGCTCAGAGCTGCAACGCAGAACCACGTAGATCCTGTTCCGGATGGGCAAGGGCAGGGAGCTGCACTGATAGTTGGAGCGGCCTCCAAGGACCTCCTTTGCAGATAGCCCCGCGCGATAAGCTCGAGCCACCCTCGCCTCTGAAGACCAACCAGTTAAGGAAGCCAGGTTCCTAGCAAAGCTGAGGTGAGGTCCCAAACTCAAGTTGCCCAAAGCAGCTAAAGTGTCGGCGTCAAAGAAAGCCTGGTCTGTTGCCAAAGCCGTCCGGGCCGGGGAGGGAGCCTCCCGAGCAAGGGGTCCAGAAGAGGCCTGGGAACCGTCAACAGCTTCAGCTTCGGCCTCTACCAGCACAAAGCTTCCTGTGGGCGAGGGCTCCTGATCGGGAGCAGCAGCCTCGGTCCGCTCAATAGACACCCGGAGCCCCGAAAACTGTAGAACCAATCGCTCCACAGAATTAGAGCTGCTGCTCATCCACGCCGATATTCACGCAGTCGATGAGCAAGCTGTGCCCGAGCTTCAGGGGCACCCTGAGCAAAATCCAACCAGCCAATGAAAAGCTTGACCAAGTAGATGAAGCCCCGGCGAACCCCAGCAGAAAGGGCAAAGCCTGCGGCGCACAGACCACAAAGGCAGCCGAAGCTGCAAGCGCAAAGCAGCGCAAGGATGCCCAGCCAGATAGGGATGGCTTGACACGAGGGCGAAGACCAGAACCTAACTTCGCGAGCTAAGTCTGGCAGGGCAGCCCACATTGAGAGGAAAGCAGCTTCGAGCGGTCACGATTGATCGGCTTCCGTGTGATATTGCCCAAACCCTAAACCCTCAAGCCGTGAACCTTTAAAGTCTCAAGCTGAAAGCTCTCTAATCTTCCCTATTAACCCGGCAAAACCCTTTGAAACCCTATGAATCCCGTAAAAACCTACCCTACACTCTACTGAACACTTAACCCTAGGACCCTATGCATAAACCGCAAAACCTTCAAAAGCCTAAACATTGATAATAGAGCCAGTATAAGCCCTTAAAGCCCTAAGACTCTAACTATAAAACCCAAAACCTTCCAAACAGAAAAACTCCGCTCCATTGAACCCCTCGCTCAACTGGGTTCACCCGCCAAGCCCTCGTTCGGGGATCGGAGGCACCTGAACTCACCGTCTGGGGGTGTTGGGGGCATAGGGTTCAGAGCTTATTATTTAGGGTTTAGGGTTTAGGGTTTTGGGTTTAGGGTTTAGGGTTTAGGATTTAGAGTTTAGGGCTTGGGCATAAAAAGTGTAGAGTTTAGGCTTCAGGGTTCGAGTTGAAAGTTTGGGGCTGCAGGGTTTGGGGTTGTCCAAAGGTTTTCTAGTGAAGCTTCGTACGTGGCTCATAGGGGTTCTATGAGAGTCTCAAGGAACTTAAGTTAAGGTACTACATTCGGGATCTCTAGTGAACCCTCTGCCTTCCCTAAACCCTAAACACTGAAACCAAAAAGCCCTAAAAGCCCTAAACCCTAAAAACCCTAAACCATAAACCGGAACCCCCAAACCCTAAACACATCAATGATTTGGGCTCAGGGCTCCGGGTCGGGATTCAGAATAAGGGTTTAGGGTTTAGGGTTTAGGGATTCAGAACAAGGGTTTAGGGTTTAGGGTTTAGGGATTCAGAACAAGGGTTTAGGGTTTAGGGTTTAGGGATTCAGAATAAGGGTTTAGGGTTTAGGGTTCAGGGGTTTAGGGTACCAAACATCAGGCGACCTAACATTTTCGTGGCAAATTCTTGCATTTCGGCACGGCTGGAACCTTCCTCTCGCCGTAATTCTACACGCATATTTTATTTCTGATGACTATCGTAATGGGGTATGTGGGACGTCCGTAAACCGTACTTTAAAAGCCATGAGACATAGTAAAATAAGGTTATAAGTGCTATGTAAGGTAACTATACTTGCAGTTCCTTCGAAACCTAGTTAGGGTGCTTAAACCCTAAAACCCTTAACCCTAAACCCTAAGGTACTTATATTCCTTCCCATGGTGCGCCAAGTAAACCCTGAACCCTACATCCCTAAACCCTAAACCCTAAAACCCTAGACCCTCAACCCTAAAACCCTAAACCCTAGACCCCAAACCCTAAAACCCTAGACCCTCAACCCCAAAACCCTAGACCCTAAACCCTAAAACCCCAGACCCTCAACCCTAAACCCTAAACCCT